GGCGGCTGTAGGTGTATCGAAATCATCGCCATCTTCACCATCGATGATTTCCTCAGCTAACCACTCATCTCGCAGGTAGCGCTTGAATGGTGCCATCACCCCTACGTCCAAGGGTTGACAAACTGACGTCGCATTCGGAGGTAAGGGACACAACAGACTTCCCAACTCATCGTGAACAATCGTGTAGGACTCGAAGTTGTCCAGAAGAATGACCGACGGCTCATCGATGGCATCGGCAAGGACAGATCGAAGGTATGCTCTCCACACAGTGTTGTTCATCCATGCCTTCTCCTGAACTGCATAGAAATGACCTCGAGTGTACGTACGAAAATCATTCGATGCAATGCGGCCGCCCGGGGAGCCACGAATGATGAACAGGATCGGAAGCTTGGTGCCATCAGCCTTGACAGTAAGAACCGCAGTCATGCGAAGTGAATGCTTTTCCCCCGTAGCGATCTTTGGCTCACCACCTTTGACTGACCAGATATACTTCGGCGGCATATCGTAGTAGAACCCCGTTTCATCCACGTTGTACACGGCATCAGGACCAAACCCATGGTACGCCCGATGGTACATCTCGGCAAACTCATCACGTGTGTTCTCTAGGTCCATCGTCTTGTGCTTGCGTGTGGATGAACGTTGGCGTGTAAATCCTTTGCGTATCATGAACCTCTGCAAAAGGCGTAGCAGTGCATCGTATCCAGCTCCAGGCTTCTTTTGGGAGAGGTAGGCACGAAGCCACCCGGGCTCATGTCGTTTGATCCACTTGATGGCGTGGGTCATAGTCAGCGCCCGCTCTTGAGCACGCATCTCGTTAACGAAATCAACAAGACTGTCGTGGTCTGGAAAACTTTCCCGTCGTCCGCCTGGTTGGATCTTCTTTTTCTTCTTGTTTCCTTCGTAAGCGAGGATTTCTTCTCGATTCTTAGCCCAGGAGCAAATAGTCTCGCGTGGAATACCAGTAGCTTAAGCCGCATTGGTGGGATTCATGGTGTCTAAAATGCCCAGCATGTTGATTCTGGTTGACATCGCATACGATCGCTTCGGAGCACGTTGCGTGGATAGCATTTTTGATTTCCAAATGGCTTTTAGTTGCATTTTTTTTTAATTTTATTACGCGAGCGGGAAAGTATTTGTTTCCGCCAATTAGCCTTCGTTATTATTTTATTTCATTGGTATTGGTCAATATTAGAGTTGTACCTTTTTGAACTTCGTTTGGTGAACCATTCCGTCGTTCCCTGTAATTATCAAAATCCCAAACCATCGCAATGATCGACTATTTCGATATTAGATCGGCATCTCGCAAATAGACCGAGTTGATGCGTAACATACCTCCAATATGATCAGTTTATACAGGTCTATCACTAAATATTTAATTATAGAGCGATACATGAGTCGACACGTGTGTCCAATTTTTATTGGATGCCGCCAAATTTCACGCGCCACTTCCAGCGTGCTCCACTACACACACATCACATACATCACTATCGAATTTGACACGCGATGGTTCTCAACATTAACTCCATGCTTGAGCGCTTGCACGTGCAAAGCGTCTCTGACCAGCTCTACCTGGAAGAGTGCTACGATGTCTACGGCGACGTCGTGGCTGAGGAGAACGACACCACGACGTACAACAATCCCGTAATCGATCGCGTCATTGAAGACAGCGGTGTTGACGGGTTTCGCACGGTGACCAACTTTACCCCCGACGAGTTCGACACCATTTGGAGCGTCGTTGAGATGGCTCTCCAAGCGCGCTGGCACGACGGCCGGGGCCGCAGGCCCTTGTCAACGCCGAAGGATGCCCTCTTCATGACCTTGGTCATTCTGAAGTACTATCAAACGTGGCAGAAGCATGCCCTGGACTTTGACATTAATGCCCCAACACTCGAGAAAATGATAATACGTGTGGTCGACGTTATCTCTCCAATTATCTACGCCCATTTCGTCACGATGCCAACCATGGAGGCCCTGCGTGAACACGACACGACGTTCCGAAACTACCCGTATGCGAAGTACGCAACCGACATCAAGTTCCAACCATCCCACCGTCCGTCCGGCCGCTTCGGGGACCAAAAACACTACTTCAGAGGCAAGCATAAGCTCTACGGACTCAAGATCGAAGCATCGGTTTCTGCGCAAGGTCTGCTCGTGGATATGGGTCGCCACGAACCTGGATCGGTTGCCGACCTCACAATGTTCCGCAAGCGGCTGGATGTGCACGTAACGAATCTGAAGAAGACACCTACGGAAGCAACCGTGAATGACAATGGTGAGCTCTTCCAAGCATTCTCAACCATGTGGGTGAGCTCTTCCAAGCATTCTCAACCATGTGGGTACTTGTAGACACCTGACTGCGTCGGTTCGCGCCATCCACCCAAAGAAGCGTCCGTCGAATGGTGCCCTTGACCGGCCTGACCTCGAGCGTACTCGGCGGTCTCCTCTGATCGCGTCATCGTCGAAAACTTCTTCGGTCGCGTCTGCACGCTGTGGAAGATTTCCTACAGCACCTTTTTTTGGGGCGAGAAAATATACGATGGCATTCAACGACTCACCTTCGCGTTGACCAATTTCCATGTTGGGCACATGCCCCTTCGGGACGACGACCTCCATCAGTACCGTGCGGTTCTTGCTCGATACGCGCGCATGGCGGAGAAGAGATCGCAGCGTGCAGCGACACAACGCCGCTACGTCCACCGTCGTGCAGAGAGACTCGCGACTGAGTCGATGCGTTCTTCTTTGGTTGCCCGTGGCGCTTTCCTCTGTCCAACCGTCAACACCCGCCGCTAGAATAAATGGCAATTTACACTTGGTATTTGTATACCAAAAAAACATTTTTGCATACAAAATTCAAGATTAAATATAATATGTATTTTATATTTTCAGCATGCTTGTTTCTGATCGATGATCTTGTTTTGAGCAATCATAGAGCTCCATTGGAAATAGCTGAATCTATTCCTCACTGCCAAGTCTTTCTTCCAAGCGTCGATCCCTGACTAGAAGAGTATGTCAATAGGTAGATGCAAACGTCTTTCGTGTGACGTAGTGTCCTTCACAAACTCAAAGCCGAATTCGGAGATACATCGGTATTTCCTATTGTACTCTAACTTGACTGTACTGTATAAGCTCCTTGTTCTTGATTAATCGCTATTGTGCATTCGTGTCTGCTTATGATCGCTCGGTGGATGGGCTATTCATTCTGGAGTACCACTCTGGTCACACCACTCACATTGATTGGCGGAATTATTTAAAAACTTTGGTCATTTTTGCATCTGATTGGCTGTTTGGAAAGCGCAAGATCTCAGCTTTGATTGGGTACTTTGTGCTCCTTTCAATTAGCTCCACTTCAAAATTTATGGCGCCGAACGCGACGCACACCAACTTCAGAAATTGCATAAACTTCCGCCACACATTCAAAACACAATATTTCTTGCTGTGCACAAGTCCTAACGCACTACTACCTTGCTACTATGCCACCACTGCCTCTGCTTGCCCCACCGAGTCCTCCCACGCCACCACGGCAGACCCGAAACCTTTCCGACGTCGAACGACGCAGCGCCTGCTACAGCTGTCTGTGAACGGATCTTTGCCTCCTGAGGCTCTACGTCACATTGCTCTAGAGTATAAGTGTCATCGCAGCACCGCATCTCGCGTATGGCAACGAGGCCAAGCCTCCACCACCTCGGGTCATCTCTTGGCCGACTTGGCGTCCAAAATAAAAGGTGCGCTCTGCAGGAGGAACTTCTGGAGTCCATGGCCGAGCACGCCGCACGCCAATCGAGCTTGGTCGTAAACTGACGTCAACAGTGACGTCTGTTCTGATTGGTCGATAACCCTATGACGCCACTGGAGTGACGTCGTTACATTCTCCCCTGGTTATCGACTTCGCCGCTAGTATCTTCGCCCGCAGATCTTGAACCAGGCGCTTGAAATGGGAAACATGTTTGATGTCCCGCTCAAGTTCCCAGGTCGATTCGTAATCGGGCAAGCCATGCCACTTGACGAGGATTTCTTTCTTGCGGTTGAACTGCCATTGCTTCAGCAGCTCTTCGAGGATGAAGACTTCGTGGCCACTGTCGTCCAAAAGCATTGGAGTCGCTTTGGGTATGGGTCGGTTGGTAAACCGATCCGTTTGGCCTGGGCACTTCTTCAGTCGATCGACATTGAAGACGTTGTGAAGACGCTTCATGCTCTTAGGCAACTCCAACTTCATAACATTCGGGTTGATGACTTGTATGATCTTAAAGGGACCAATGAACTTCGGTACTAACTTTGGTTTCTCATCCTTGTTCACCAA